CTACATGGTTATATATTATATATATGAAAAATGATGGTAGACAAGAAAAAAGATTAAATTGAAAGATACTATAAACTTGAACAAAAACTTCATTGCCTTGAATACGACAGTTAGTTGTATTACCAATATTTAATTCGATCGTTACAAGTGATATGATGAACAACAATGAAAAAAATATAATGATCATAAAGATTGACCATTTATTTGTGCAAATTCTATTAATCAAAGCAAATACAATGAAATAGAGTGATAATGCTGAGAGTAGTGTACCAAAATAAGTAATGAATTTACATTCAATTAACAATCGAATATTTAGTTTTATTTGATATTCATCACTTAATAGACTTATGACAAAATCAGCGAAGTATAGCTATGTTCAATGTATTACCTATGACACTAATACAGACGATTATTGAAAATCGTATTTTAATTAATTCAAGACTAATATCTCTTAATAAATCAGCCATATTATCTGTAATGTAATGGTAAAATGTTTGAGCATACTTCTATTGTTGACACTTTATAAAGGAAAAAACCTATTATTATTCTTATTTTTCTCACTTATGAATATAACATTTCAGAGAAGTGTAAACTTTCGATGTATTAAAAAACTAGTCATTTCCCAATATTGTTTTCAGACTTTAAATAATCTGTCAAATACGGCACAATGAAAATACAGGATTTTGACAGAAAGTTTAGAATCGAATGTATTCTAACCTTTTCTATCCATAGTTTTAGAAGAGTAGCTGAATTAATCTGTTATCATTGATTTTCATAAAGACTCGTGAATTCTTATATGTTGTAGAAAATTGTCATATGATAGATATTTTAAGAGTGACTTTGAAAAACAAATTTCCTTAGAATTCGTTATTTTCTACATATAATTAGAATCTTGATTTATAAAAAATAATAGATTTTTGAAATTATCTTAATCTGAAATCACATCATTCGAACATCGTAATAAGTCATCTTGTCTAATAAAATGAGCTATTAAGAGTTCGATAAAATATTTCTTCGTTCTTATCAAATGAGTACAAATTTTAATCCTTGTTTCATAAAAAAATCGGCTAATATCTCAAAATGAAATGGTCATGTTTTCCACAATTTGAAACTTCGAGTTCATATACTAAAAAACAAGGGAAAAACCGCAGCAAGCGCACTCTCGGCACCTCAGCACCTTTCATCAATTTTGGATGCTGAGGTGCTGTAGTTACCCACGTGCAATAGTCTCTTATTCTTCTGCTGCATACAAAAATATGAGAAAGTTTCATGTTATTAAGAAAGCTATGCTAATCACTAAGATCTGTGTTATTAGAAAATCAAACGTTGTAGTTCATTTTGCGTTTTTATGAATAGTAGTATATTTTTACGAATTGTGAAATCTTTATTTATTTTTATTTTTGAATCCCAATATCGATAGATCAAACTCATTAATACTTGCAAAGGAATTAATCTTCAGTAGAGAAAGTCAGTCAAAACATAACTTAGATTTTGAGAGAGTGTATTATGTGATATATTAAGCGAATCAGTCTTTCACTGATTAAATAAAAAGATTTCAATTAGCTGGTTCAGTCTGTAAAAAAAAGTCCAATCGATTCGAAGTATGTTTGATCAAGTGAAATATATCATATGTTAATCAGATATTTTATCGTTGACATCATATTCATATTTGAATTAAAGTAAATAAAAGAAAAAGTACTCTCAGACATTTGAATTAATTTTCCCTAGGAGAACATAGCAGAGGCTTAATTGCTTTGTTTATTAAATGTTTGAAGATAATTAAGTGTAAAAACAAAGGCAGCTCGTCATTTGAGCTTGTCTTTCTAAGACATAAAATTTGCATATATCAAGATGTCGTTTACCATAACGCATAATACTTGTAAAACAAAACTACTGTCACTTTCATTAATTTTGACAATAATTCGATTATCGATTATTTATGTCTTTTTTATTTTCAATAAAATAAAAATATTTTTCTTTTTTTGATGACATTGTCAATTATCACTTGCATCTATTGAAGACATTTATCTTCAATAATTTTGACAAATTCAGAAACTTCTTTAACAATAAAATGTCCTGTTTTTTGAATTTCAATATCTTCAGATGTAACGTTTGTCAATTAAAAAAAGTGTCTTTTTCTATATGAATACATAGATCAGTTGATGATTTACATTGAATAAACTATTGTGTATTTTCACGTATAGCATTTTAATTCCTATTCGAAAAAAAAAAATCATTCATCAGTAAAAAAAAAAGAAAAAGCTTTGAAAACAAACCATAGTCAATAATAATAATAACAACTTTCTCTTGCACATTCATTGTCAAGATCAGTGTAACACATTGAAACTAAAATAACTCCATGTACTTGATCAATATCCAGTTAATCTCATTATAGTTCGACAAGCCATATTACATCCAGTTAAAATTATCTTTTTATTATGTCTCACGTACTCTATATAAATCAAACATTTATTTAAAGATTAACATTAATATTTCTTTTTGTTTTTTTTAACAATGTAATCTTAAAAAAATCAATATAAAAGATGTTTCGTTCTTTTTCTTTTTAATCTTAACTAAGATTTTTTTTCTTGTTGAATAACATTTAAATAACATGAAAAAAGTTCTTCACCTTGTTTAATTGGTCTTAAAGAAATAAGTACAGTTGATGGCATTCCTTTTTCTCCATAATCTATATCAGCATATCGAACATTTGGTACAAAACGATATAAATCATATTCATTATCATTAAAATGAAAATCAAATTCATAATATGTTACATTAGGTAAATCATCAAATGGAAAATGATTTATATAATGTCCAAGTGTTAAAGGATTTTTATGTAAATAAATATCTTTTGAAAGCCATGTTTGATCATATAATGGATATCGAGCATGACATGATAAATAAATTGAACGTGATAAACCACGATCACGTCCATCAATAATTAAATCATCTTTACGTGAAAGTAAAAATGTATTTCGTATTGATGGTAAAAGAAGAGGATCAATATGACGACGATATATAGTTCCAGGATAAATAGCAACTAATTGTCCACCTTTAGTTATTTGACCATAATCAAGAAAAATATCTTGAGCATGAGTTTGAGATAAACCTTTATTTAATGAAAAATTCATTTGTTCTTGAAGAATTTTTCGAGGAAATTTATTTGTTTGAGAATTTAATAAACAATTAAATAGCTGAACAATTTGTTGATGAAGATCGTTTTGATCAATTTTATTTTCAATTGAACGACATAATGATTGAACTTTATCGATTTTTTCTACATTCAAATAAGATGAACGATGACCAAATAAATATTTTAACATCTAGATTAAATTCAATCGCTTTTTTTTTTCTATTAATAAAGCAAACAAAGAAAATGAAAATATTCTATAGACTATAAGAGGAAATTTTTTCAAGTTTTTTTTTGTGATACTTTTAACTTTTTAATAGAAGATAGTTGAAAATGCTGTGACCTTCGCATGTTATTCAGGATTTAGTGCTTTTTAAGATAATATTCTTCAAAATCAATTTTTATAAAGTTTCCAAAGATCTGAAAATTACATGTTTGTTTATTGAATAACCTTCGTCTTTTAATTCATCGATGAAATTCATTAAATGATTATACCGTGAATAATATTTATTAAAATAATAATTACAAAAACAAAAGACTTTGAAATCCATTAAGAATTACAAATAATGCAAAAAAAAGGAACTGTACTCTGAAGCTTTTCAACATTTTTTTTTTCTTTCCGATAAAAAACCATTAAAAATACCAAAAAAACAAATGAAATTATTTTTTTTTTTTTCGTTATTTATGAGAATCAAGCATCATAATGTATGAAACATGATGTTACAAAAGAAAAACAATGTTTTATTAATTATTGTTCAATCATATTTGTCACAATAATTTTCTTTCTCTGATAATAACTTCTATCATTTGTATTTTCATATTGAGTTTTATCTTACGATATGTATTTTTTTCTTTTATATAAATATGTGTTGTACAGAAGTCGAAATAATCATATTGTCCATCGAATGCTATGTATATTTAAAACTGAGAAAAAAATATTGTTAGTTCATTTTTTCACTGATCTATTTGTCACATAAATGAAAATAATTTTCAAGTAAGATTTTATTTTGTCTCACAAATGAATAGAATTCTTTTATCTCATAACTAGATGTTAACTCTATCATAAAAAATAGTTCTTTCTGTTTTGTTGTAAATAGAAATTTTTCAGAAAAAAAAAGAAAAATCAATATAAGCTCATCCTCTTCGTCTTCTTCTTTTTTAAATATAACTTTTCTCTTTCTTCAATAAGCACAAACACACATCGAACTGGTTTCCTTTTTTTAACATAAATACATAAGAATGAAGACAAACTACAGCAGTAGAAGAAATAAATAAAGATAGAGAGAGAGCGAACAAGAAAAAAAGAAACGAAAAAAAGGAGATAGTGGATAGTAGAGAATAATAGATATATGAAATCAAGTAAACGTTTAATAAACGAGAATGAGAGAGCGCAAAATAGATGAAGAACAAAAAACGAAAAGAGAAAAAAAAAAAACGAAAAATCACCAAACTTTGCTTGTTTCTTGATTTACTATCTCGAATGCGCACGTATATTTATATATATATGTGATATATGATAATAAAAGGAGAGAACGAGAGGTCGAACATGTCACTGTTTTAAAAACAACAACACAAATGAGAAAAAAGAGAAAGAGAACAAATAGACGAAAAAGAGAGAGAGAGAGGGAAAGAGACAATGCTCAATGCATATGAGCTTACGATTTTCGTGTTGTTGTGTTCGAAAAAGAAAAAAAGAAAAAACGAAGAGTCGACCAGCGAACATTGGTATTGGCATCATTATCAAAGAATAAATATATCGAACGAAAGAACAAAATCAAAAGAAAAGAAGAAGACTACATTTATTCCCCGGTAACGCAATGTCGCTGCCGAGAAACGAGAAGAAAAAAAAACACTACTCAACTAACTATTACGCTTTAAGTGAATGACCATTACCGCCTAATGGCGAGTTTGGATGATAGAAGTTATAAGCAGTCGTTGTATGTGGATTGGTCGAACCAAAATAGAACAAACTACTATCATTTGAATTTGAACCACCAACACCACTATTACCAGCATTATTCGATACATTTGTTAATGTATAATCATCATCATCGAACTAAGAAAATTTCAATATAAAATGTAAAGTAATTGTATACAATTCATAATATATAAGACATACACTACTAGCATATTGATGATTATTATGAAATACATTCTCATCATTACGTATTTGTTGTTGTGGTTGTGGAGGAAATCCTATTGTTGACAATGATTTATACGATGGTTGTCGATTATTAATCAATGTATTTGTTGATAATGTTGAAATAGGATTATTAGTATTATTATTCAATAGAATATCATTAAATAAACCATTATTATTTGTACCAGTTAAAAATGTTTGTTGTTGACGATTTAAACTATTTGTACTATTATTTATTGTTGGAAAAAATAATAGATTATCATCATTTTCTAAAAAATATATATTTTTTTTTCATATTAAAAAGAAAAAGTATAGATCAACATACTAGCTGCAATTGTTTGTAAAACAGGATAATTACGTTGATTTATATTTGTATTATCTGTTGAATTATTTCCATTATGTGATGTTACAGATGGTAAACGTAAATCCTTTGAACATAGAAAAAAATTTTGTTTTGTTCGAAATTCTAAAGATTTAAATCTACTTCAATATTAGGAAAATGAGTTGTTGATTGATGATTATTATGCTGATCTGACATTGATGAAAAACGTGATTCTGTAAAACTAAAATTCAAATAAATTAAATTCGAATTGAAGTCTATAATAAACAAAATTAATAATAATACCTATGAGTACGTTGTTGCATATGATTTGATGATTGTTGTCCAGCATTTGTATTTGTTGTTTGAATATCTTAATCAAATAGATATTCTCAAAAAAAAAATAATAATTTATTAAATAAATATTATTACAAGGTCGAGGTAACAATGATTGTTGTTGCTGTTGTTGTTGAGCAATCTAAAATTATCAACAAAAAGACTTAAACAAATTGAACATCTGAGAATACTAATCTTTCATTCGAAACAAATATTCTTACAACACTTGTTTTCATCATATTATTAAGATATAGTTACATAATCATATCGTAGACATCATTGGTACTTTTCAAAAGTATTCACTATATAACTATATGACAATGTCTAATATAGAGACATTCAATTCAAACAAAAATTCTTTCGTCAAAGTGGTAAGTATTCTATGTGTCTTCACTATAGGCGTGTAGATCTAATCGATTATAAATTATTTGGAATTTCAATAAAAATGAATATATCATGAGTACAATAATAATGAATTAAAAATAAATAAATCTCTCACCATTGATTGTGTATGATGAAATGGTATTGAAGGATTTTGATGTTGAAAACGATAAAATGCATTTGCAGCATATGCTGCAGCAGCTGTATTTTGTTCAAGAATAGCTTGTGCAGCTGCTGCAATCACCGGAATTTGATTTGAATTATTATTATGATTATTATTATTATTGGTTTGTTGTTGATTATCATATGTTGTTGCTGTTGTTGGATGTCCATGAATTTGAAGAATCGATGGAGGAATTTGTGATGGATGATAATAATGACTAAGAAAAAAGAGAAAATTTATTTTTGAAATCAAATTTGAAAAAAAAAAATAATCAAAATACTGATGATGATGTTGTTGTGGCATTTCTTGAATAATATGTTGAGTTTGTTGTTGTTGATGTTGTTGTTGTGGATTCCATAAAGGTAATATTGCTGGAGGCATAGGTCGAATTAAATTTGCACCATTTGTTGAAGTAAATATTGGTAATGGACCTGTTGGAGGTAGATGAGTAGAAGAAGGAACAGGAGCATTACTATTTGATGATGATAATGGTAATATTGATCCATTTGAATGACGACTTTTAGCACGATATTTATCCATTTCAGCTTTTGAATGTGCAAATGTGCAATGAACACCACGTGGACATGATTGTTTTTGAACAAAATCACGACACATTGATACCTAATTTAAGTTTCAAAAAAAGAAATTTCATATTTAAAAATAACAATTTTTTTCGATGTAGTAATGATATTTTAACATCTATTTATAATATATTTTTGGAGAATATAGTTATAATCAATCTGAAAAATTGCCCTATTTTTAGTACTTGTTTTGCTTTAAAAATATATCACAATGAAAGAATTAATATAAAATAATCAAATTAAAATTTTCTCGAACAATAACTTTTAATTTTAATTAAAATGAAATCGAAAATACTTTAAATATTTCTATTGAATATATATATACATTATTTATTTGTAGAGTATTTTAGATGAATTAAGGAAATAATAAAAACCTTATATTTAATTTGATTTTGTTGTGATGTTGATGGATGTAATGGTTGTAAATGATATTCTGATGTTGTACTACTTCCACCTAATGGTGAAACAGTCATTGGTGATGAACATGATGTTGATGATGTAAATGTTGTTGATGATAAATCATATGAACGATAATGATAATGATGAGTTTTATTTAAAAAATTTGTTTTTAATTCTTGAATATTAAATTCAATTAATGATTGTAAAACTGTTTTAATTGATTGTAAAATTTGTATAATTAATGGCCAATTAGAATTATCTTGTTGATTATCATTTATAATTATTTGTTGATCATTATATCCAATATCAATTTGTGATAAATATTCAAAATCAGATTTTAAATGTGATAAATGTTTTGATGTATCACCAGCACGTTGTAAAACAATTAAAAATTCTTGAATTGCTTGAGAAAATGATGCTGGTGTAGATAATTTATCTATTATTGATTGCATTGATGATTTATGTTGTGTATCACCATATAATAATGATGACCATTGTTCAGGTGATATACGGAGACCTTGTTACAAAAAAATTAATTTATTTATTATCAATAAAACATATTATATCATTCAAATCAATACTCATTCATCTAACTTCTTTTCTTTTCAGTATCTTACGGTAAATTGTATAATGTAGAGTAAACTCAGATTTTATTGTTTCATCTAAAAGTCTTTGTTCTAATAGAACGTGTTTGTATTGATTTTCTTATTTCTAAAATTATTTTCTAAATCTCGAAATCTTCTTTTTATTTTGATAGTTATTTCAAATGTATGAAAACGGAAGAATAAACTTTTCTAAAAGAAAATTTGACTGTCTATTCTATGAAATAAAAACTGTATTTTAAATATCTGATTATTATATTATTCGAATGAATTGTTTTTTTTGTGAATATTTAAAAATAAATAATGAAAATAACTATTGAAGTGTAATAGCAATAAGATTTATCTCTTCTGAAGTTTTACACAAATTGAACATATATTATGAACATAAAAAAATTCTTTACCAGCTTCCATAGCAATTTGAATTATTTGTGAATCATGTTCACGACGAAGATTTTCATAATTTCGAAATTCAGATTTAAGTTGCATCAGTGAAGATTCTTCTTCACGTTTTTGCACCTAAATTCAAAGTCCAAAGTTCAAATTTTTTTCAAAACAAAAACAAATATAAAATTTACTTTAAAGCACGATGCACGATAAAGTAATTGTACAACATGACCAACACTTGTTTTACTTGCACGTGGATATTGTGGTGCTAATTTTTGTACAACAAATAAAACAAGAACTTTACGTGATAATGCTGAACCATCTTCAAGTGCTAATAATATTAATTTTAATACTTCTTCTTGCATAGCTATACAAAAAAAACAACGACAATTTTATTTATAGACATTTTAAAAAAACATTTAATTATAAAAAAAAAACAAACCTGGTCCAAGAAATTGACAACCACGTGAACGAACAGCAGACCAAAGATTAGCTGTTAATTGTTGAGGATTTTGATGATGAAGAATAAAATCAATACAGGTCCGTTCACCAAGACTACGTGCTGCTTTAAGAGCTTTTAAACGACCTTCACGATCAATATATTGACTATTTATTAAACTAAATATTTTACGAATCATTGGACGACTTAAAACTGATTGATATTCTTTATCATTAACTATAAATAAATAAACAAATAATATATATGTTTTTATTGTCTATATAATTTACTTATTGGTTTAATTAAAAGAGCTATTTCAATAAGAAGTGTTTGTGTACGATTAAAATATGATTTTGTTTCATCATCAAGTTTCATATAAGCTAAACATTGACTATAACGTTGTTCATTATCATCAGGTAACTAAATAAAAAATAAACAAGTAAACAAAAATAAAAGAAAATATTTATTTCAATTTTATTACTTTAATTGTATCATAAATAATAAATAATAATGGATAATTTGTTGGCAATTGATCAATTGGTGTATTATTTATACCAAATGAAACTTGATCTTGTGGACATTTTGTTTGATTACGTATTATATCAATACATTGTCCACACATTGTATGACCACATATTGGTAATGTTATTGGACGATGTAAATAATTATCATATTCAAAATCATGTGAACATATTGTACAACGTAAAAATTCATTATAATATGATTGTAAGGATTGACTGGATGGAGACATTTCTATTAAATCAATAAATAAATAAATAAGTAAATAAATAAATAAATAAACAATATTTTGTTTTCTAGGAGATTTCTTTTTTGTCTCTTAATAATTGTAAATGAATATAAACCGTACTTATTTCGATAGATGTTTTGTTGCGTATGTGTTGTGATGATGATGTCAGGCAAACCTCTTTCTTCCCAACACTGCCTATTTAACTACCAGAGTGAAGAGACAGACAGCAGAGAGAGAGAGAAGAAGAGGACGGCGGCGGACGTGTGTGTGTGTGTTCACTTTCTCTCTCTTGTTTCTTCTGCTTCACGTGTATGTGATGATGCTTCTACTAGTACGCATAACACACAAAAGAGAAGTAACAACACACATACACTCGTTCGAAAACAAACAGCTGTATTGTTCTTCTTTTTTTTTTTACTAATCTAGAGAAAGAGACGGAGTCGGTTTCCTCCATCCATTACATCGGACGAGTGAAATAAACGAAAGGAGGAGGAATGATGATGGACGAACATCAATTCTTCGGATGGCAGAATCAACTACCAATCATGTATTAACGAACAGCTGATAAACAAAAACAGCTGATCTTTAACCATTTTTAGTCAATATATGTTCAATGAGTCATTAACAATAAAAAAAAAAGTCCAATTTTATATTTTTAACAATCGAAATATATTCATTTTTTTCTAATAAAAAAATCGAATTTATTCAATTAAAGAAAAATAAATAAACAAAAATAATGGAAAATAAATGTTTTATAAATAACAACAAATAAATATTTTTTATGACTGCCATTGTTAATTGTAATAAAATATATTCCTTTACTTACAGGGATTATTTTTTATGTAATTTCTTAATCATAAACTATAATAGATGATTTCATATAAGCATTTTTCTTTTGGTATAAAATCCAACAAATCTTATATTACTTTCTTCAAAAAAAAAAAAAATATGAAGAATCTGACGTTTGAAAAAAGAAACAAACTAGAATGTTCTTTTTATTTCCTACCGTAAAATGAATAACTGAATAAGACCAACGAAAAGCATAAAAAGAAAAAAAAAAAAAATTTCTTTTAAGTGCACACAAATCAAAAGTATTGACTATGAAATAGATGTAGTATCAGTTAAAAACAAGAAATAACTATTATTGATCAATCAAATTTTTCATCCGAAGAATATCTTAAGTTTTCTTTTTTTTTATTTTCGATATTAATTAAATTAAAGTTGATCTTAAACTGAATCACATCATATTGTAAAATATTTAATGAATGTTATATATTTAAATTAACAAATATTTCTCGTACAAAAAAATAAAATACTTCATTTATTATGTGATAGGAAGCAATGTGTGTTTTTTTTTCAAGTAATTCAGAGATATTTTCAGCTCTATTTAGTATAAAAGTATATGGTATTTAACAAAATATGAATTAGTAAGATATTTGGAATGTACATAATATTTATATTTAACAAAGAGTTTTTATAATTCTTTTCACAATCTAGATCAATGAATGATGATCACATGCAGTATATATATCAAGTTCCAATAAAGAAAAACTTATTCATCGTAATCACAAGATAATAAAATATTTTGAAAAATTTATTTTACTGTTAACAATTTGCAGTATATACAAAGCTAAGATATTTTCATTGAATTTTAAGTTAGGACAATTAAGTTTACAATGTAAAAAATTCCTATTGGAAAGTTTATTCTAATAAAAAATAGTCCGCAACATATGACTCTAATAAATAAAGATAATTTTTCATGTTCTCTAGATTGGTTGAAATCAAAAGTAATATATTGATATGAATCTGTAACTTAATCCTTAACATTATTAATAGAATTTCTATTTTTAAAAATGATAAAATATATATCGAAATATGATATTAAAATATAAAATGTTTGATTTTGATTGACAACTTGTATCTCTGTTCATTATTTTTTTATAAAATAAATGAGAAGTATCTCTCATCAGATAAAGTTTTATTTTAAAAAAAAAAAGAAAAATCTTAAATGAATAAAAATTATTTTCTTTGTACTTGAGAAATTTTTTTGTTGAATATTTTATATAAAATGTAATCTGTATTTAATATAATCTATGAATAATAAAATTATTGTCAATCAAAATTTTCTTCTTATTTTATTTATTTTTTTTGTCTTATTCTCTCTCTTAGTTTTTGTTTTTTTTAATGCATAACAATAAACAAAGATTGAAAAAAAAAAAAAAAGAAGTGGAAAAACTAAAGATGAGAGAATTGTATCGATGCTTAATTGAAAATAGATATTTGTTTGAATTATTTTGATTCTTTGTTATAATATCCTTTTCCAATAAAACCATCTCTTGCAGCCAATCGTAAAAGTGAATCATCAGCTTCACCCATCATTCGAATTGAACCACAAATTGCATATGTACGATTTTTACCAGTAATACGTCCTGTATGTTCATCAACTTCAGCAAGATCCAATTGAATAGCAGCATGATCTTTAGCTGCAATTATTTTATTACTTGCAGCACATTTTCTTGGAATATATAATTCAATTTGTTCTGTTGTTGGTACTGCGTCTGTTTGTTGCATTTTTTGAATTCTTGTTTTATTTTAATAGACGATATTTATGTATCTGAAATATTCTATTGCGCAAAAGAAAGTTTCGCTTGTTTTTTGTTTGAAATAAAAGAAGAAGAAAGGGAAAAAAAACAACAAAGCAAATAAAATGTTTTTTTTTCTTTTTTTCTAAAGTTGATATTAATATTGTTATTTCCAAAAATTGGGATTTTCAGCAATACGTCGTTGAAAATTATTATACCATGTTTGAATTACACTTAATGGAACAATTTGTTCTGCTGTTCCAGGAACATTTTGAACAAATGATGTTACATAATTAACAAAATTATTGAGCATTTTTGATACAAATTCAACATTTGATGCAACTGTTGATGGAGCTATATCATATGGTTGAATTTGTTGTTCAAGTTGAGTTAAAGGTTCAACACTTATACCTAATAAACCATCCGTTGGAATGGCTGTTTGATGTTGAAATCCACTGAATAAACTTGGCACTAATGATAAACTTGTTTTAGAGTCAACGTCTGAAAAACAAAAAAGAAAGAAGATTGTTTATTTTTTAGAGATTTTCTAGAAAAAAAAAAAATAAATAAATGACAATCGACCTTTAATTTTATTAATTTTAAAAATTGCACTTGGCTTTGCATTCGTTATTTTTCCAAGATAAATCCATGATGGTCCTTCTGTACTTGGCCAACTAAAGTAAACTAAAAATAGAGAAATATTTGAGAAAAAAAGTCGAAATTGAATAAATATTACATAATACTTGCCACCACCACCAAAATTTTCAGGAAATGGTATTTGACCAGTCATGAAAACAACAAGATGATTAACATGATCAACATCTGATATTGGAATAACAAATTGTGTTTCGCTTACTTGTTGAAAATTCATTTGTGGCTATGAAAAAAAATTATTTTTAATTATTAATTTATTTGAAAAAGACTTACTAATCGACCAGCAATAAGTATTGAAAACATGTTTTTTTTTTAATCATCCTGTTTCTTTTTTACAAGTTAGAATTTATCTGCAATATATATATTCATAGTTTGATACAGATATATTTAAAATAAACAATCGAGAGTATATTCAAAAAAAAAAGAAAAACAACAAAGGATTAAATTTTAAGAGCTCCGTGTTTTTCTAAATGCTTTAGACGTTTAATAAGACAATGTTTCATTGATGTTGGTAGTTGTTTTAAAAATTTTAATTCCATTTTTAATTCATCTTGTTTTGTTCGATTTGTCATATTATCATTATTGATATCATTATGAACCATCATATGTTCTGCTCCACCACGTCGCATAGCTAAACCTTTAGTATGTAAATCTTCAATTAATTCATTTGTTGTTGGCATATTTTGTGTTAAAGTTAATTGTGTTATTGGATGATTTGAATCATTATCAAAACGAGATTTTCCATATAATGGACATATTTTATCTGTATTAACATGACCCCATTTTTTACATTTTATACAACGTACCTAAACAAAAAAATATCAATTGTTTAGATTATTGAAGAAAAATTTTATAGATGATTAAGATTTTTTGCGAGAATGAATATCTTATAGAGTTATCTTTTCATTTTGATTTATTTCTATGGAAAAAATGTTCTCTGAAAAAGATGTATTGTTTGATTTATGAGAGAAAAAAAGTCTTCAAATGAGAGTTTGTAGAATTCAATAAGCTAATCACGATAACTGAGCTATTATATAAAAAATTTTTTTAAATATTAGTTTAGTTTTTACCAATAAAAACTTCAAGTTTTATCAGATTTCTCGTTTTTTTTTTTTAATAGTCTCCACATTCTATTTAGTTATGTTCTCATGTGTTTATGTCAAAAATTACAATAGATAAGGCAAATTATTCAAATATCGTCGACATGAATTTTGAGATATGTTCAATTTTTTCAAAAAAGGAATTTAGCCAAAATTTCTGAAATCGCCATCTACTTGATAACCACATAGCAGTGAAAATCAAAAGTTTTTACAAATATTGGAGGTATGTTCAGATTTCCAGAAAAGGAGATTACCCATATTTTTGAAATTTTCATCAGCTTGATTACTATTTAGCAGTGCAAATTAAAAGTTTTTAGACATATTGAAAATTACATCATTTTAGGAAGTAACGTATAATTTCGAGCACAAATGCTTGAAATATCCGAAATTTCCTTTTTCGGAATTCTGAACACTGCTGATTTTTCAATATTATAAAACATATTAAACGAACGAGAAATGTATTTTCAACCTATGAAACATTATTTGAGTTCATAAGAAATAAGTTATCTTCCTTTTATAATGAACATCTTCAAAATTTTCATTTTCAAAAACATTTAACAATTTTTCTTTAATTAGGCATTCTCGTATAGTGAATAGAAAGAAGAAAAATGAGGCAATAATTTTTATCTCTTTGTTTAATGAATATCGTATATATAATATAGAAATC